ACCCCTCCCATGACATACAGATAGGTACACAAAAGAGATTGCTATGCAAATACCATAAAACCAACATGCATACCTAAATTCCTAGGTACATGTAGACATTCTAAAATTCTAAAGTCCACGGAAATATCCTGACTTTCAGACAGAAGAAATTGATGCAGCTAGTTTGCCCATAAAGTGGGGGAAAAAATCTATTTGATTATATAAAACAACACTCTACTCATATGAAATCATGCTGTAAAGGTGTACTACTTCATCTCTGTGTAAATAGTCTTTCCCATCAAGCAGGATATAATGAAATCCTGAATTGTGTAATACAGTGGATAGGTTTTGTTTTATTATAGCATTGGGGGCAGGGAGCAGGGAGAGAGATGATTCTAGTAATAAAAAAGGAAAGGCTCCTAGATAAAACTTCTGTGATATTAAAAAACTTAAGTGCTCATTACTTAACAGAAAAAAGTTAATTTAAAAATGGGCCTGAATCATAGGAGTCACAAAATCAGACTGCATATAGATCAGCTTATCAATTCAAATCCTACCATGCTAAGGCTGTGATTGGGGAAGTGAGTCTGTGCTATTTTACCATTTGTGAAGAGCAGGTTTAAGCAAATTCACAGTAAGAGCAAGATCTCAAGAGGGTGGTTCATATTTAGGAAAACTTTCAAATACTAGAAAAGCATTTGTTCAGATGTTAACAATAATTGTGCCTGTTTTTAATCAATCCTATTTATTCAGAAAGATGGCTACCAATCATTACTTGGGCAATTTTGTTTTGGTTGTCATCTATTCTTTGTTGTTGTTGTTTTGTTTTTAACCAAACACATGCTTTTCTGTTTTAATTCTGTAATTTGGGATTCTTCCAAGTCAAACTTTTAGTCTGCAACAACGAAGTTACTGTATTATGCAGACAGGAGCGAATTCAAGCAGTTTTAAAAAATCAGATGTCTTTCTACGCTAGTTCACGTGCAAAAATTAACAAATTCCCATCCTGATTTATGGTGTCCTAGGACATGACATCATATACATCATGCACAAATGAGATCAATATGTAGGGAAGTGACAAGGAAGATAACAGTGATGATAATAACAATAACTGATATTGATTGGGTTTTTACTATGTGTTGAGCTTATTTAATACTCACAACAACCCTAGTTTATATTATCATTCACATTTATAGATGATGAAAGGGAAGCTTGGAGAAGTTACCAACTATCCCAGGTCACATCACTAACAGGCAGAGGGTATAGAGCTTGGATCCAAATCCAGAGTCCAAATTCATAACCACCATGTAAGAGGCCCCAAGATCCTGGTAGACAATATGCTGCGGAAGTTAGTGGGGTGGAGGTAGGTAAGACAAATTGGTTTATCCCCATGGACAGCTCCTGTATTGTGTTACTCTGGAAATATATAAACCACACCCAGTAACCCCCAGGCTCTTTTGGTCATTTGACTGTCATAGAGGGTTTTTATTTGCCTACAGAATCCATGTGGAATTATGGAACAATTGCCAAGTATCGATGGTGCTAGAACTACTAGAGTGTTCTGCTTACAGTGCCATTTACCTCTCTTGCACATAGAAGACACCAATGAGGGAAAATGAGCTTTAAAGGTGGCCAGGATCAATGTGTATTATAAATCAAAGATTACCTGGATTGATTCTTATATGTTCACAAACAGTTGTGAGCAGTTTCAGGCAGACTGGGGCCAAACTTCTCAATGGCTATTTTTAAAAATATTTTTTCTACTGAATGTGTGTGACAAGATTACCTACCTTTAAGAAAAAAATGAGAATCTGAATGTCTTTAGAAGTGACACAATTGTTAATGATGCTGGATGACATAATAGTGAGAAAATTGGGCCAAAGAAATCAGCCACTACAGCCACCACTGTATGCCACTACAGTAAGTGCCTTCTTGTACAGAAGAATAAACATCAGTTCTCCAAAAGCAGAAATGGCCACCTGAATGGTGCATGATTGCAGAGTTGAAATGTCATGTCAGATTACATCATTTTGTCATGTTCCTTAGAGTATGGATTTAAAGCCAATCTCCTGCCTTAGATTTCTGTGACAGGATGTTCTGAGC